TAGGTTTCGCATTAGGACGATCAAGTGTTCTGGGATTCCCATTCTTCTCAGAGTCAGCCATAGTTTGTTATGATCCACACAGTCAAATGCCTTTCCATAGTCAATGAAACACAGATAGACATTCCTCTGGTATTCTCTGCTTTCAGCTAAGATCCATCTAACATCAGCTACAGCGTTTTTGCCAATAGTCTCTATTAAAGAAATCCTTTCTATAAAAAGGAAACAGATGGTGAAAAGACTCAAAGTGTCAATTATTTCATCTTGCTTGGATCCACAATCAATACACTTGGTACCTACCCGCAGTCAGGAGATCAGGAGACTTATTGCATTGGAAAAGTCTGTAGTCAGAAACCTCTCCAATGAGGAGCAGTGACAAGTGGCGAGCTTGGTCCAGGCCGTGGTCTCTTCAGTCTCTTGCTATGCAAAGCTGAACAATGAATAAAGATGACAGGATTGATGCCTTTGAACTGTGGTGTTGGAGAAGAGTGTTGTTGAAGATCCCATGGACTACCAAAAGAACAGATATGTCTTGGAGAAGGTGCAGCCAGAATGCTCCTTGGAGGCAAAGATGATGAAACTTTGTCTCACATACTTTGAGCATGTTGCTAGGGGAGGTTATTCCTTGGAGAGGGACATCATGCTTGGAAAGGCAGAGGAATAGCAAAAGAGAGGAAGATTCTCAACCAAGTAGACTGACACAGTGACTACAGCAGTGGGTTTGAATGTGTCAGAGATTATGAGGATGGCATAGGATGGGACAGGGTTCAGATTTGTTGTTCATAGGATCTTGAATCATACTAGATTGTATGGCATCTAGTAACAAGAACAACAGGTCACAATATGAAACCACATCTCTTTCTTGTTAAGTGCTCATGACTTATAGGGACTCTAAGAACAAAAGAGGGAGCTCTGGTGGCCTAGTGGCAAGAAGCTGTGCTGCAATCTCCAAGGCTGGAGGTTTGAGGCCACCAGCTGCTCCGTGGGAGAAGAATGGGCAGTCTCCTCCCGAGACAGTTAACCAACTGTCTCTGAAAACCTTCTGGGGTTCAGCTATAGGTCTGTTCCAACTCGACTGCCCTATCCTGCACGATTGATAAAGCCCAATAAAAATATTTGTTAGGGACCATGTAAGTGCTTTATAATTATTCCTGATCAATGCTGATAATCTTTGCGTTCACAAGAAGCCCTACTAGTTTATGGAAATCACTAGTTCAGACTAGTCCTCTGGAGAATCAAGACAAATCCGTTCTCAATCACAAGCAAGTGTTCACAAGATGTCTTTGAGGAAAGCACAAGGGACTAACTTTCTGGTCTGTCCTTGGGTATTGAGCAGGTTTAGCGGAAGTTTGGAGTGGGGAAAAATTTGAACCTCCTTAAGTTCCCTCAAAGAATGGAGAAAGACTCAGAACGTGCGCAGGAAAAGTAGTTGAGAGGAGAGAGCTTTCCCCATCCTCCTCTCTCAAGCGTTCCCATCTTGACTTCCAAGAATTAGAAATTTGAAGATACCAAGGTTTGTTCTTAGTGGGTCCCAGGCTCTCTGTACACACATGTTCAAGAGATCTAACTCTAAGAAGCTGGAAAAGTAAGGGGCCAAAAGGTCTGCACTCCTATATGCGATCCTGTCTAGGTTCCCTCAACCCTCCCGCTCCTCCTTTTTGCTGTACTCTCACTCCCAACCCCCCGCCCCTTCTTGTCCCCGCCCCATTCCTCCCCTCTCATTGGCAGAGTCGGCGATCTGGCCTCCCCGGTTTTTAAAGGGCCAGCTCTCCGCGCTGCGCGGGGAACTGCAGCTGGTCTCGGCCTTGCGGCCTGCGGGGAGGCTTCCCGGAGGAGGTGGTGGCCTTGACGGCGGTGGTGCATCTCAGGCCCCCAATCCCACAGGTTCCTTCCTGTCAGGTAGGTCACTAGTTCCCATCCTTAACGCGACTTTCCTAGCTCCCTATCGCCTTTATGACTCCCCCATTGACCATGTCCCCCTGATATCTCCACCTCCCTGCAGCCCCTGGACCTGGGTAGGACTTTATTGGAAGCCACGAGAAAGTCAGTGAGTGTGAGATGAGGGGTCCTGGGTACAGGACGCTTCCCATCTGTACAGGGGGAAATGCACACAGCCCCCAAATATCACAGGATCCCCCTCGCTGCACCCCACACAGAGCAGTACAAGTTGGTACTACCTTGAACATCAGAGCAAACACACCACCCCCACCCTATCCTACCCCTACAATTAGATATCCAGGCCTAGAGAGTATACATCATTCAGTCATCATCAAATCCAAACAGTTCACAACATCAAGAGACTCAGCTCCTTCCTTAACAGACAGGCAGGCTCTGTGTGTGGGCCCAGAACACACATACACACACTTACACACTCACAGTTGACTGCTCAGTCTAATGTACCTGAAGTTCAAATTCTTTTCTAGTCCTCTAGTACTATATGGATTAGGCAGACTAAGATTGAAATCTGAGTGCTCAAGTTCATCCCTTGAGCATGATCTGCTCCATGGATCTGGCTGCTCCTTATCTGTCCCCTCTGTGGCAGGTCTGACCGTCTATTTGTCCATCTCTGGAGGTCCACAATGACCACCTTCAGCCGCCAGGAATTTTTCCAACAACTGCTGCAGGGCTGTCTCCTGCCTACTGCTCAGCAGGGTCTGGACCAAATTTGGCTGCTCCTTGTCATCTGCCTCACCTGCCGCCTCCTTTGGAGGCTTGGTAAGTGCCTGCCAATATCATGCACTGCCATGAAAAACCACACCTTATTCTGTCATGTCCTGCTGTGCCAAGCCCCACCATTATTATATCCAGCCCTAGCATGTCCCACATTTCATTCCACTACACTATGTCCTGCTATGTTCAGCCACTTCATGCCACATTGTGCCAAGGCATGTCCGGCCACATCAAGCTATACATTTTATTTTAGTAGTCCTAGGATTTAGGACTCTGGAAAAGAGAGGTACCTGGTTGTTGGGATACCAAACTTGTATATCCCAAGGTTATAAGCTACTGAAATGCTGATATCACAGAGGTATGAAATCCTAAACCACTAAGGATTCTGACGAATTGAAATGCTCATATGCTAGGATTAAAAAATGCTGGCATTTAGAATTTATAGAATCAATTCATGAAGATATTTCTGGATTCTAAGATTCTGAAATGTTTCCACAATCATGTTGTTATTAGTTGCCATGTGTCTACTCTGACTAATAATGACCCTATATACAACAAAATTAAACTCTACTCGGTTTTTTACATCCTCACAATCTGTCCTGTGCTTTGTTGCATCCACTCAGTCAAATCATCTTGTTGAGAGTATTCCTGTTTGTTTCACTGACCTTGTACTTTACCACTCATAACAGACCTATACCCAAGGCTTTTGTGGTCCTAAAATGATAAGATTCCAAGTATAGGATGTTGAGATTTCTGGAAATCTGAGTTACAAAGAGTCTACATTTTTCCTTCTCTTCAGATACATCATTTTTAAATATTTCAAATCTACCAAAAAGTTGGAAGTATAGCACAATGAACCTCTGTATGAACCTCAACAGATTCTCTAACAGTTAACATTTTGCCACAATAGGCTCTGTCAGTCTATCTGTTCTGTCAGTCAATCTAGCTAATCTTTCTGAATCACTTGACTTGCTGGCATGACACTTCACCCTCAGATTCTTCAGTGTGTGATACCCCCCCAAAAAAAACCAAGGATATTCAAGCCTCAATCAAGTTTATATTCACCTTTCCTCCCTCTCCAGCTCCCCAACACCAACTCTGGGACTCTCTCAGTCCCACTACATTGCAACTTCTAGGCTTTTGTCCAGAATGTTGCCTTCTGCCCAGGTTTCCCTCCCCTTCCCACTAGTCCATCAACTTTTTCTTTCTTCTCTCTCTTTTATCTAAAGGATTGCCATCCTACCTGAAGCATGCAAGCACCGTGGCAGGAGGATTCTTCAGCCTCTACCATTTCTTCCAGTTGCATATGGTTTGGGTTGTGCTACTCAGCCTCTTGTGCTACCTTGTGCTGTTCCTCTGCCGACATTCCTCCCATCGTGGAGTCTTCCTCTCAGTCACCATCCTCATCTACCTACTCATGGGGTATGGATGTGCATCCTTACCCCCAGGCCTTTGGGCGAAGGGTGGATGGGCCACCAGGCAGCTCTTCTACTGGCTGTCCAGGACAGGGAGAGTATGGAATTCCCTGGCAGTGTCTGGGAGAAGAATTCTCCTATGAAGTCAGAACAGGAAGGTGTTAAATGTCTCTGGAGAAGGAAATCTGGGAAAAGTGTTCTCATGGGAGGTTATGTAAGTGAGAGAGTAAGATCTTAAGGGGGAAATCAAGACTATATAGGACAAAGAAAGTATGTCTCTTTCCTAAAGAGGGAGTTCTAGAGAATTATTCCTTCATGAGGTTGTGTATAAGGGAAGACATAACCATCTTTGCACCTTGATTTCCCAAGTCTGTGGTTGTGGAGGCCATAGGGATCATGGGGTCAAGACCAGCACTTTTTCTCTTAGTGAGATGCACATGGTGGACACCGTGACATGGCACAAGATGCGAGGTAGGCAGCCCTGCCTGCCTCTCTCACAGGCCAGCCTTTCTGCCCTGCCCCACATCTCTCAACTACCCTCACTTTTTTGCCTTTCCTTCCCTTCTTTTTTCCTGGATCCATACCCCCCACTGTACATGCAGGCCTCAGATTTCCCTGGTGTTTGCATTTCTGTCCTCCATGAATTTTAATTTTTCCCCACAAGTCTGCCTATCTTGAACCTACTTGCCCCTCTGCCTGTAGGATTCCATGCTCACTTGTCCATTCTTGTATGCCTCTTTTCCCTCCCACCTCACTTGGTGCTCCCTACCTCCTTCATGCTCTCTGATCCCTCTGCTTGATCCTGGGTGCCACACATAGGGGCCCAGATGATTGTGGCCATGAAGGCAGTGTCTCTGGGCTTCGATCTGGACCGTGGCGAGGTGGGTGCAGTGCCTTCACCTGTGGAGTTCATGGGCTACCTCTACTTCGTGGGTACCATCGTCTTTGGGCCCTGGATATCCTTTCACAGCTACCTACAGGCTGTCCAAGGCCGCCCATTGGTGAGATCCTGAGTGGACAGGTGGGCAGGGGCTGTGGGAACTACCACAGGACAGTGCTCACGGAGCCTTGATTCCCACAGAGCTGCCGATGGCTGCAGAAGGTGGCCCAGAGCTTGACACTGGCCCTGATGTGCCTTGTGCTGTCAACCTGTGTGGGCCCTTACCTCTTTCCATACTTCATCCCCCTTGATGGTGACCGTCTCCTTCGAAAGTGAGCATAGCCTTTGAAGCCTCTACCTTGCATTTATGGGGTTGGGTAGGGACCTGGGGTCTCCCCAGCTTTGAGCTTGTCGCTTAATACTCTGTCTGTCTTCTGTTACTACAGCAAGAAACGCAAAGCCAGGTAAATGAGGGCAGGTGTGAGGGCGAGTGGGGCTAACTGGGGAAAGGGGGACACAGTCTATGATTGTTTCTGCAAGTCTGACTCTGACCATCACCCCATGACTAGACAGAGAATGGATGTCTGTCTGTTTGTCTATTTGACCAAGATTAGCTCTATGTACTCTGGCTCATATGGCTGTATATATGGTTGTATATCTGGTTATCCATCTGTTCAGCTTTTTCTCTGGTTGAAACACGTTTTGTGACTAATGGAGAAGTACCTCTCTGTCTAGGGTTTATGAGTGGATTGGCAACTGACTCTTTGAATGTGAGACTATGAATTATGGCTGTCAGGTGATACCATTATCAATGATAGAATGTACAATTGTCACTGGAGATATTACCATCTATAATTTCTAACTGTTAGGTATTGAGTGCCTGTCTGAATGGTTCTGCCTTTGTGCCTCTAGCTGTTTGGTGTTGCCTGGCTGAGAGGTCATAGCCAACTTTGTGCCTTTGTTTGTACCTGTCTATAAGACTGACTGACTACTTCTACTTTGATTCTAGATTTTGATCCGGCTCTTTGATTGGGTTCCTTCCTACTCTTACTACTTACTGGCTATAGTTATATCTGCTACTAAATGAGGCCTTGAAAACATTGACTTAACCAATATCACCCAAATAAGCATCCAGCCAATAAACTTAGAACTTATTCCAGAATCCTCACTTTTCCCAGTGAAAGATGTTGCCTATTTTTTGTTTTGTTTTTTTGGGGGTTGTCTACTTTTTTATAGTTTCTGACTGTCCAACTAACAGAGTGGCTGTTTTGGCTATTGAATTATGTATGTGTGCAGAGTAGGGGGTTTGATGGATGTTCTCTGTGTCTAACTAAAGGACTTTTTTTATGTCTTACAGTCACTGAGAATTGCTAGACTGGGACTCTGATAGTACCTGTCTCTGGCTGTGCAACTATGTTATGTGTAGGTCTGTGAGGCTGAGCCTTTGATGATGGCTAGCTCTGAATGCCTGGCCCTGTGTGGCTGCAGTACTATGTCATATTGCAGGACAGCTCATGCATCTATCTGATCCATATGAAATTATCTGACTGTGTATGTATGAGTGTGACTGTCCATTTCTTTTACCACTGTTTCTGTCTCGTCTGTGAACTCAGGCCAGCTTCCAGGGCTTTTATGACTCTCTTTCCTTTCTTCTCTGCTGTGCTCCTGACCCCTGGGGATCCTAGGGACACCATGGTAAGGTGAGTCTACAAAGTGGAGCTGGGGATACTGACAGATGGTGGGAGCACCATGCCAGGACCTGGGCATGATGCCTCTCTCCCTTGTTACCTTCTCCCCAGGTGGCTGCGAGCCTACGAGAGTGCTGTCTCCTTCCACTTCAGCAACTATTTTGTGGGCTTTCTATCCGAGGCCACAGCCACATTGGCAGGGGCTGGTTTCACCGAGGAGAAAGATCACTTGCAATGGTGGGGAGAGAAAGGCTCCCCTGTCTCACAGGGTGCTATTTAGAAGAGCTGTAGGGAGGAGGGAGAGGTGTGCCCAGGGGAGGGAAAAAATGTGTATGTCAGATAAATGGTGATCACAAATGCACTTGTATATCTCTTCTGCACCCAGGGACTTGACAGTGTCTAGGCCACTGAATGTTGAGCTGCCCCGGTCCATGGTGGAAGTTGTCACCAGTTGGAACCTGCCTATGTCTTTTTGGCTAAATAACTGTGAGTCACTAAGTCATCACTCCAGCAGAGTTGGGAGTTATCAACCCAAACCCTTCGTACAGCAAACATTTATTGAGTAGTGACTGTATGCTAGATACTGAAGATACAGTGTGAATCTTCAGGAGACAAAAATCCCTGCCCTTGGTGTAGCTGGCATTTTAGTGGAAAAGATACTAAATCAGAGCGGGAAATGCACAATAGTTCAGTGCTTTGGTAAAAAAGTTAAGCAGGTAAGTAAGATCCAGGAATGAATTTGGAGGAAGACTGTGATTTTAAATAAACTAGCCAGGGCAAACTTAATTGATGTAACATTTGAATAACAACCTGAAGAAAGTGAGAGGACAGCATGCAATGTGGCTATGTAGGAGAGCCAGCACATAAGCCCTGAAGTGGAAGTGCATGGTGTATACACAGGGAAATGAGGAGATCCTTCTGGCTGGGTGCTGGGTGGAGTAAATGAGATGTAGAATGGTAAAATGTAAGAACAGATAACTGGGGGGTCAGGGGGTCAGGGGAAAGAGGTATTGGAGAGACTGATTGCATAGGCCCACATAGGCTTTTACTCTGAGTGTGATAGGGGCTCAGAGGAAAAACATGAGGAATATTTTTGAGCTGAGGAAGGCTGTAACCTGATTGAGCATTTACTAGAATTCCTATGGTGAGGGCGATGGTGGAAGTTATGAAAATGCCACTGCAGTAATCTTGGCCAGTGATGATGATGGTTAACTGTGTATATAGTGAGAAGTCAGATTCAGGGTAAAATTAAGGAGCAAACTGGTGGGGTTTGCTGACAGTTTGAGTATAGAAGTTGAAGGCACAGGGTCACTAGAATTTTTGCCCTGAGAAACCGGAAGGGTGGAGTTGTCAACTCAGTTGGGCGATACTGTGAGAGAAGTTTAGGAGTAAAGATCAAGAACTATGTTTTGAATATGTGAGCTTTGAGACTTGGGGCTTCAACAGGTTACAGTTCTACTCATCCTGCCCTATGGAATTCTGAGAAGACCAGAAGGATCTCAAGAGAATCTTGACCCACATTTCCCCCTTACAGATGTTTTCAAGAATGCTCTCCACCTGGGGACTTTCTCAGCCGTGCTAGTCACCTATGCTGCCAGTGCCCTCCTGCATGTGAGCAGTGTGGAGTGGGATCAGGGTGGAAGCATGTGGCGGAAGGGCAGGGGCTTGTCCTTTTTCACCTCATTGTCTCTTGGGTCCCTTCAGGGCTTCAGCTTCCACCTGGCTGCTGTGCTGTTATCCTTGGCATTTATCACTTATGTGGAGCATGGTAAGAGCAAGACCCAGCCTGGCTGAGATGGTAGAAGGCTGGTGGAAGGCTGAGACCACTACCCCTCGAGGATGACCTAACTTCCTTATTTCTATCCACCCACTTCAGTCCTCCGGAAGCGACTAGCTCAGATCCTCAGTGCCTGCGTCTTGTCAAAACGATGCCCACCAAACTGTTCACACCAGCATCGCTTGGTGAGGGTTCAGCCTGGATGACCAACCTCATGCCCAAATCATCCCTTCAAAAACCATTATTTCAGTCACCATTTTATATCTATTTCTGAATGCCTGGCTTCCTGGCACTGTTTTAGGTGTTAAAACATAGTAAACAAAACAAGCCAAAATCTTAGCCTTTGTAGGACTACCGTTTTAATGGAAATGACAGTAAATAAGTCAGTAAAATATTACAGTTTGTTGGATTGTGATTAGTATTATGGATAAGAGAAGGAGGGCAGGAAATTTTAGTAGCAGTTTCAAGCTTAAGTAGGGAAGTTAGAGGAAGCCCTCCTGAGAAGATGTGTTCAAGTTCTTTGACTGAAGTAGGTAAAGAAGAGGACCGTTCCAGGCAAAGGGAACAACTAAAGTAAAAAGCCTTGAGATGGAAGCAGGCCTGAAACATTTGAAGAATAGGCAGGTGTCAATGTGACCTTAGCAGAATGAGTAAGAGGTGGAAAGCGTGGGCGGAGATACAGTGAGTGACTAGTTCCTTTTGGACCCTGTAAGTCATGGTAGGATTTGGGGGTTAGTTTTGGGTTGTTTTTTTCATTCTGTTTGCAATAAGAAGTATGGACAACCTCATATTTGTCCCACCAACTGGCAACTAAGGTTCATCATCATAAACCCCCTTGATTCAAAGTTTCACCATTCTTCTTACTGTGCCTGAATACTCTTATCTCATGCAACTGGACATCCTTACTACATACTTGACTTGGACATCCTCATTATTAACTGTATCCTGTGGAGCTCCCACTGGAGGAGTTGAATTATCTTTTTCTTACCTCGGGGGGTAACTTTGATACCCCTTCTCCCTATATCTGCTATGCCTTGTGTGTCTCCCTGGACTCCCCTGCCCAGGTGGAAGTGGGGGACAGTGAGTAGGTCTAGCTGCCAATGCTGTCCCTCTGTCCCTGACAGGGCCTAGGAGTGCGAACCTTAAACTTGCTCTTTGGGGGCCTGGCCATCTTCCACCTGGCCTACCTGGGTTCCCTATTTGATGTCGATGTCGATGACACCACAGAGGAACAGGTGAGGTGGGACACTTGGGCTTGGGGACATTATTCAGGGATAGCACTTCCTGGTCATAGAAAGCATTAGGCAAAGATGGGCACCAAGTCACAAGATCCTTTAGCTCACATAGCCAAATCTTCTCAATTCTCTTTTCTCATTGTCCCTCTAGTTGATTCACACTCTTGGATCTTTTTGTTTTTGTTTAGGTAGCATTTACATTATCTTTGTTTCCTTTTTAATATAATTTTAAAATATTTTTACTCTGTTTAAGTGTGTCAACTGTGGGGTTTGTAACTTTTTATTCATGTCAACTATGTAAATTCAAGATTTTATTTCTTTTTAAATAAAAAAATATTTTTAACTAAAAAAAAATACTTTTTATTACTTTGGCACCTGCAAAATTCAGGCTTTAATTTTTAATTGAAAAGAACTGTTTTATATTTTTATTATTGGAAAGAGGTTTTTTTAAATTCAAGTTGAGTGTGCAAAGTCTAGATAATGATTTTGTAATTCATAGTTCAAAAACCATGTGTAGAAATCAGGATATTTATGAAAAAGTCATGCTCCCACTTCATGCCCTTTCCACACAATTCTACCCTAAACCTCCTTAGAGGCAGCCACTTTTATTCATTTTGTGAAAATATCCTTCCAAACCATAAACCTAAGAAGCAAATACAAAATTACTTTTTAATCATCTTTCCCTGTATTTACCCTAATGGTAAAATGATACTATTCTGCATGCTACTTTTTTAAAATATAATAATTATTGTTAGTGTTCCTCATCAGTAACCTCATTCAAAATTTTTTCCCATTGTGACATAATTTCATTTGTCCCTTATTAGGGAACACTCAGGTAGCTTCCAGTCTTTTGCTGTCACAACTGATACTGTGTCAGGTACCCTCATACACAAATTCATCCAGGTGAAGATTATGAGTGAGTCTGAGCATTTTTCATACATTAAAGAGTCATTTACTTTTCCTTTCCTGGTCACTACCTCCTTTCTTGATTTAAGGTTTTTCTTTAAAAAAAAATCTTTATAGGAGCACTTTATATGTATATATTAAGGAGATTACAGGTCAAAGTAGAATTGCTTTGTCTTGGTTTTTTTCTTCTTAAAACACAAAATAAAAAATTGTTTGCTTTTTATATGCAAAACTTTACTATGGGAATTTGTAGGGCTATTTGAGTAGACTAAATGTGTGCAAACGATGAGTTCTCCTGAGATTCTTTATCTTTGTGTGGAATCATCACCTGTTTCTTTCCCACAGGGCTATGGCATGGCATACACTGTCCACAAGTGGTCAGAGCTCAGTTGGGCCAGTCACTGGGTAACTTTTGGATGCTGGATCTTCTACCGTCTCATAGGCTGAGACACAAATGTGGCACATCATGGCCCCCTCAAGACCCCTCCTTAGGGTGCCAGTTCTGCTGAGTAATGAGAGAAGACCCTCTCTCCACCTCTTTCCCATCACCTTAACTCCCAACACAACTTTTCTCTCTCTCTCTCTCTCTCTCTCTCTCTCTCTCTCTCTCCCCCCTCCCCCGCCCGCCCCTCCATTTCTATGTTTCTCCACCCCACCACAAGGCCCAGGGAGGGTAGTCCCTAGCAGATCCTAGGGGTAAAGGATTGCTTGGGGAAGGGGAGGGGAAGAAGGGGAATCAAAGGCCTCCCTACCTTCCTTCTCCCTTTTTTATAAATATATTGTTATTGTCGAATAAAAATAAGAAAGATACAGTGGGCTCTTTCTTCACTCTCAGTGGGTAAAATGAGAGTAGAAGGGGATACAACATATCCCCTATTCCAGCTGGATGTAATAATAAGCAGCTTTGGAAGAGGAAGCAGGTTGTGATTGATGCATGATTAATTAAATGTAAGATTTGTAATTTATGCCAGAGGATAGCAGTCTCAATCCTGATTGATTTGAGTGAGTGGGAACAAATTGGATAGTTGTGGAAACAGAAGACTCAGTAACTATCCAACTGGTTGCTTCCACTGGATCAAAGAGGAATGAAAATAAGTAGATGGCTGTTGTTATTGTGTACTGTTGAGTCAGAACTGACCTGACCCTCTAGAGGGCTTTCAGAGGCAGTAAATTCCCATCCTTCTCCGAAGGAGCAGCACCTTTCCACTAGGCCACCTATCTTCAAAATAGATGTTAGGTTGGTGCTCACTGGTCCTTAGGAATGAGGGTTCTGGATTCTAAATGGATGAAAAGTCTGAGGAATAATAATAAAGAGTCCCTTGCTAATTAGTGTCACGGGACTGGGGTTCAGATTATTTCTTAAAACTTCAAAATCAGGCGAAATGAGGATGGACGCTGTCTTTAGGGCTAAGTAGTTCTGAAAGCTGAAGGATTTAGAAACTGAGAGGGTGTGTACAGAATGTGATCTGTTCATCTGCTGCAAGTATTAAGGCTTCCTTGCACATTCAGGCATCAGGACGGAGTTAGCCTGGGATCCTGATTGTCATCCCCAGAAAATATGGGCAGAGAACACAGTGCAGATGATTCACCGGCACATTAGCGGGAGGATGCACAATTTAATGATTCCTAGCTATGATCAACGCCTCTTTCTAGGAAGAAACTTGTGAATTAGAGCTCAGATTCTATGCTGATTGGCTGGTTTAGACGTAAGGACCCTGTGACCATCCCCCTGCCAGCACATCACTCCTCATTCCGTTTTAGCCAACAGCGACAATGGCACCACGCATGAGGGCGGGGCTAGATGAGTATAGAGAAGTTCTGTTGGTTAGAAGCATTATTGGCCGCCTCCCCAACCTTTCCATTGGTCCTCTCCATAAGGGAAGGTAGCTCGTGAGTAGACTGGCCCAAATTAGGGTGATTCTGAACCCTAAGAGCCATTACAGACAGGTCCAGGAGCTGGTGGGGAAGTTTCTGTGATCGCGCTGCTGGGTGAGTTCTCCTTACCCTGGTCCTTCACTCCATCTCGTAATTCTCAACAGCCAGCCTGCCATCCCAAAGCACAACTGTGCGAGACCCTTTCACACTACCCCCCTGAGCCAGCTAGCTACCCAGTGGTTGTCGACGATAGAAGGTCTCCTTTCTCTTTGAACAACTGCCTTTCAGGGTTCTGGTTTATTGGTGGTCTCTTTATTCGACTACCTTTTTCCTTTTTAGAGAGCTCTATAGTTGCACAGCTAACTCAAAGTCAGGAAGTTCGAACCCACCGCGGTAGAAAGATGGGCACTCTTCCGTGCGATTTACAGCCTTCCTACAATCTGACTCAATTCCGACTCTACTGCAATGAGGCTGAGGGTTAGTTTTGGGGGTCGTTTGTGTTGTGTTTTGGTTTTTTGTTGTTTTGTTTTTTCTTTTCAGCGCCATATAAGACCCCTCCCTTTTACCTCCTATTTTGTACCTCTTGCAGATTGTGCACTGCTGTCGGAGGGCCCTGGCTTTCCAAACACCACGTCTAAAAATCTGAATCTGATTTTTGTCTCTTCCATCCCTTAATTGCACTTTTCAAGGCTATATTTAGGGGATAGCAAGAACAGTGACTTTCTGTCTTTCCCTTTAAACTGTAACCCCTGAGGTTGGAGACCAGGCCAATTTTTCCAGTATTTGTCCCACTAGACAGTAACCCCTGAGGTTAGGGACAGGACCCAGCTGCTTGTGTCTCATTCCCCCAACAGACCTAAGAAGGTGGGACTAGACCTGGTCTTGTGAGAACTTTGAATGTTAAGATAAAGCTATTGTGCAGCAATGAATAGAAAAAAAAATAAATTTAAAGACAGAAATCAAGAATGGCCTCATTAGCTACCTCTTCAAAATATGATCCCACGGATTAGAGTAAATACCAAGGGTATTGGCACGTAATAATATTATTTCTAATGCAGTCTTTTATAGTCTGTCTGTAAACTAAACTAAATTTACTAGCTTAGTACATTTAGTTCACTTACATTGCTGTGATTGACAAATTATATTTTATTTTACTCTAAATCTACTTTGAAGCAGGAGTGGCATTCACTTCCTAAACTGCATGCCTCTGGAAACTCTGAACTTTGATAAATGGTAATGGTTGTGGAAGGGCTTCAGGCCTTTTGTTCATGAGGTCGCTACGAGTTGTGCTCGACTGGATGGCAATCAAAAACGACATAAATCAACAGTGGGCTTTCTACTTATGTAGGTTTATCTGCTCCCTCTTTTTATCTCTCTGTAGATTGTTCCACAAAGAGATGACCACCAGCATCAACTCATTGCACCCATACTGGCCCCGGCACCTGAAGCTGGACAACTTTGTGCCTAATGACCGCCCCACCTGGCATCTCCTGGCTGGCCTGTTTTCCATTACTGGGGTCTTTGTGGTAACTGCATGGCTGTTGTCAGGTCGAGCTGCAGTTGTTCCACTGGGGACTTGGAGACGACTATCCCTGTGTTGGTTCACAGTGTGTGGGTTCATACATATGGTGATCGAGGGGTGGTTCTCCCTCTTCCATGAAGACGTTCTTGGAGATCAAGCTTTTTTATCTCAACTTTGTGAGTCCTAAGTTCTTTCATGGGCCATGAGAGGGAGTTATCAGAACAGAGATTGACTTGGATGTTTACTTATCAACCATCTTTCTCATTAATTTCTTTCGATGGATCATTTGTTTACACCAGACAATCTTAATACTTGCTATCCTATGAAGACCCTTGATGAGGTGGATTGATTCAGTGACTAGAGTAATGGGGGTAGGTGTGTCAGAGAGGATAAAGTTGGCTCAGGATAGAGCAGGGTTCAGAGCTGTTGTACATAGCGTTGCTATGAGTCAAGCAACTCGACAGCATGTAACAGCAGCAACATGTGATATTTTGTGTAATGTACTATTCTGAGTTATCTTGTTTTACATATACTGGTAGTTGAAGACAGTTCCTTTCTGACAACTCTGTCATAAGTTCTGACATAAAACTATTGCCTCATTTAATTTAGTTTTCATTTATTTATTATCAATATATTTATAAATAATAGGAAACTGGTAGCCTAGTGGATAGGTAATTGTGTTGTCAACCCGTAGGCAGTTGGTTCAAATCTACCAGCTAGTCCTCAAGAGAAAGATGAACAATCTCCTCCCTTACAATTTATAGCCTACTACTAAAAGAACATCTCAAAATGATAACATCAGCAAATTATATGCTGCAACATTGTATGTAGTAAATATTACTGATGATAAGATGTAAAAAAATAAACAATCATAAATGCCATTTATTATAATTCCACTGCATTATTCACAGGCTACCTGTATTGTAGAATCCAAACAGTTACACTTTTCACAGGTGAGGAAATTGAGGTATATAAATGATATGTGAACTCCTTTTCTTACTTTTATTTTTCATTTATCACTCTTGTTTTCTTCAGGGAAAGAGTATGCCAAAGGGGACAGCCGGTATATTCTGTAAGTGTTTGCCTTTGTCAAGAGTATTGGTTTAGGGTGGTGGTAAGTCAAGAAACACTAATGGGGCACCCTGTGGGCAAAATACACTGATGCCAGGTATTCCCTATACATTCTCTTACAGAGGTGACAACTTCACAGTATGCATGGAAACCATCACTGCATGGATGTGGGGACCACTCAGCCTGTGGGTGGTGATTGCTTTTCTTCGCCAGCAACCACTCCGCTTTGTCCTACAGCTTGTGGTCTCTGTGGGTAAGGAAAAGCAATTAAAGGGGTATCCATAGATATTAGGACATCTCTTTAGATGGAGTTTCTCAATTGTGCCCTTGCAAGAGTGAGTCAGAATAAATAACAAACCCTCTGAAGTTCTAGAATAGCCATGTTCCTCTTGCACCTACTCTCTAAAGTAAAGAGGATCAATGGTGGCCTAATGGCAAGAACTGTGCTGCAATCCCAAAGGCACGCAGTTCAAATCCATCAGCTACTTCTTGGGAGAAGTATGGGCAGTCTCCTCCTGTGTACTTTACTGGCTCTGAAAACACACTAGAGGATCAGCTAGGAGTTGGTTCCGACCTGAGGGCATAAAACAACAACCTCCTACATCACAGTATCCTGTAAAGGTTACATGAAGTTGGCCAGTGGTGGCAGGAGGTCCCCGGCTCCTCCAACATAAGGATTCTGAGATCCTGTCATCTAAGATGCAGTCCTCCTTTGCTCTTAAATTTGCTTTCTTTGGTTCTGTATTTTTGAGCTGTCTTGGAGTCTAAAGTGACTGGGGTAATCGGGATGGGTGTGTCAGAGGCCATGCGATTGACACAGGATAGAGCAGGGTTTAGGGCTTGTTGTACCTAGGGTTGTTATGAGTCACAAACGACTCGACGGCACATAACAACAACAACAAAATTCTAGAGAAATATTAGGTCTCTCATACAATCAGAAATTTTCAGCACTCTGATTTCTGAAATTCTTAGCCCTATGGTATCAGAACTTTTAGCACTCTGAATTCAGGAGTCCTGAGCCCTGAAACTTTAAATGATGACTTCAGAAGACACCTTGGATAAGCTTCCTCACAGAGATTCTCCTTCCTCTTCTATTTTCCACAGGTCAGATCTATGGGGATATACTTTATTTCCTGACAGAGCACCGTGATGGGTTCCAACATGGGGAGCTGGGGCATCCACTCTACTTCTGGTTTTACTTTGTCTTCATGAATGCACTGTGGCTGGTGCTGCCCGGAATCCTTGTGCTTGATTCTGTGAAGCATCTTACTTATGCCCAGAGTGTGCTAGATGCCAAGACCTTGAAAGTCAAGAGCAAGCAGAACTAATTGAATGGGTGGACTGGACTTTGACCACTGGCTGATGAGGAAGTCATTATCTACCACAAGTCAAATCCTCCTCCTTCAGGTTGGAAGGGAAAAATGCATCTGTCTACTGAGACTGATGATTGGACACCAGAGAGAAGAAAGAGAAAGAGGTTAGGTGAACTTCTATTAGGAGAACCATTGGGATAAAGGCACAATAAGATCTAGAAGGTCCATGGTGATGGTATTTTTCTAGAAATAAAGGATTCTGACCCTAACATTGAGAAATCTTTCATTATTAACTCCAAAGATGCCTTAAAGCTGACCCCACACACACAACCCCTCCATCACTTATTCCATAGAACTTCTTTCTTTCAGCCCTCTATTATTCCATAGGCCTCATCTGTTAAAAATCCTTTTACTCACAATGCAAATTCCTACCACTGACCCCGCAGACACACCCATCACTCACCAATAAGCCCCTGTCACCCTACAGGCACTCGCCACTGACACTACAGACCCCTGATTACTCACCCCACTCCTGAATACCCTACCTCAGAGAGCTTGCATCATTCATGTTGTTAAGTGCAGTAGAATCAACTCATAGCAATCCTATGAATAACAAACCTGAGCCTTGCCCTATTCTGTACTATCCTCATCTCTTGATATTTGAGCCCACTGTTAAAGACACTGTATCAGTCCATCTTATTGAGGATCTTCCTCTCTTTCTGAACCTCCACCTTTCCAAGCATGTTGTCTTTTTCCAACGGCTGGCTCTTCCTCACAACATGCCCAAAGTATGTGAATCAAAGTTTCACCATACCTCTACAGAAACCCAATCATTGCTATCTTAAAGACCTACATCATTCACCCTATAGGTCTTTATCATTCATTCACACTACAATCTTCCACCATTCACTATACAGACCCCCTACACTCACTCTAGTCGTTGTACTTAAGTCTCCTTATAACTCACCCTGCAGATTGCTACACTCACTTCACAGATCACCTCATACACCTCCATCACTTACTCTAAAAACTCCACATTGCAATTACCCCATCATTTACCGTACAAACCCTATTACTCCATTCACAAACTTCCCATCACCCAATAAATGCCATAATTTATTGCATAGACTCCATCACCCACTTCATAGACTCTCATCCTCTACAATCCTTATACCTTTCCCAAATCTACTCATCTGATGGACTGTATCTTCATACTCCCTACACCTCATCGTTAACCACATGGATTTCCATTATACCTCAAAACCTACATTATTCAGATGTTACCACTTGTCACACAGGTCTTTCATATGTACCCTACAATGCTATTACTCCCATAGACCTTATCACCCACTTTTCAGACTTGCCCATTACTCATAATTCAAACATTTTCAGCCCACAACTCCCTACCCCCATTACCACACAGATGCCTCTTGCTCAGTGAACAGACCTCCAGTTCTTTGACAAATGCCATCACTCCATGTTTGTGAAGGAAACATGACCTCCCTGCCATTTATGCTGAAGAACCTTGAACATTAAACTCAACAAACCTTACAGCTCCCATCACTTACCTCATAGACTCCATCACCACATAGACACCATCACTCACCCACTAACCTAACTCCACATACTCTCATCACTCACTACTGACCTCTTGTCACACAATCCCCATTTCTCACTGCATAGAGAATCCTTATAACTTCAGAGACCACCTTCTCTCACTTTTCTGACCCCCAAATCTTTTACCTCACAGTCTGTCACTCCATCGACCCTGTCACTCATCCCATAGACCCTTCATCATCCCATAGAAATCCCATCATCTACAGACACAGAAACCCACATCATTCATCCCACAGATCCAACCACTAGTCTTATACGCTCCACATCAAACACCTTACAGACTCTCATCATTAACCCCATCACTCACTCCACACACATTATTCAAACTGCAGACCACATGCCACTTCTTATGTACAACTCATAGCAACCTTGTGAACCCTACCTGAACCTTGTCCTATCTGGTACCATATGCATTATCTCTGATACTCTTGAACCCATGTTTTCTGTTTTGTTTTGTTTAAATTTATTATTAATTTCAATGAAAATTTAGAGACTTTGGATTTCCATTCATTCATCATTGCACTTTTATCGCCTCCCAACCCTCCCTCCTAGTACACTACCCTCTTGGAAAAGAAAAAAAAATTCTTTCATTGTTTTACAAACCCTCCCCCAGGTCCACTCCACTATGCAGCCTTCGCTCTGGACTCCTGTCATGACAAACATACCTAATCACATATCCCTTTTAAACAGTTTTCTCCCTCATCTGTTTCAATGCAGTATACATTATTGAACCCATCTTTCTCAGTCTCCCCCCAACCCTGATGTCAGTCCTGTTTTACAACAGTGGCAGCATGCAGTATTTGTCCTTTTGTGACTGAGATACTTCACTCACCATAATGTCCTCCAGAGTCACCCATTTTGAATATTGCATGAGTTCCTTGTTTTTCAGTGCAGTGTAGTATTTCATTGTGTGAATATACCACAGCGTCACTATCCATTCGTTTGTTGATGGGCACTTAGTTTGTTTCCAACTCCTTACTATTGTGAACAAAGCCGCAATAAACATGGGTATACAGAGCCCATTGTTAAAGTCACTGTGTTAACCCATCTTGTTGAGGATCTTCTTCCTCTCTTTTGCTGACATTCCACCTTCCCAAGCATGTCTTTTTCCAAGGACTGGCCTATACTAACGTGCCCAAAGAATATGAGATATATATACCACTTAATTCATTCCCTATGCCCCACATTCATCATATAGACAACTCCATCTACCACTCCACAGCTGCCAACACAGACTACATCAACCACTTCACAGATGCCAATCAATATATTGACCCCAGACAACTTACACCACAAACACCTCATCACTAACATCATTGACTCTTATCATTGCCTGTTGTTATGTGCCATGGAGTCAAGTACGATTTATAGTGACTCTACGAAAAATAGCTCTGGACCCTGCTGTATCTTGAGCCAATCTCACTGTCTCTGACACACCTGCTCCCATTGCCGTAGTCACTGTCAAACCGCTATATCTAGGGTCTTCCTCTCCAGCACTGACCCTTCCAAGCATGATGTTCTTCTCCAAGAACTGGTCCCTTCCTGGCAACATGTCCAAAATATGCCAGAGTTTAAAAATCCTTGCTTCCAAGGAGCAACCCGGCTTCACCCTTACCAGGATTCTATCCATGGCATGTTCAATACTCTTAACACCACAACTCAAAGATATCAATTCTTTTTCTGTCATCCTTAGTCATCATCCAGCATGCAGATAATTGAGAAGACCATGACGTGGATCTCACCTTAGTCTCTAGACTTAAGTTATTGCTCTTTAGCACTCTGCCTACCACTCAACGTAAGACCTCTATTCACACTTCAGTGCCCCCATCACTCATCCTGCAGCTCTCATAACATTCATCCTACTTAAAAAAAACTCAGTAAGACTGAGAAAAACTGGATAGATTGTGTATGCTGCATTGAAGCCAATGAGTGAGAGAACAGTTTAAAAGTAATATATTTTATGGCATTATGATTATCATAAGAGTTCGGAACGAGGGTTGCAGAGTGGAGTATACTCGGGGGGGGGAGGGGGGGGATAGTATACCAATGAAGGAGTTTTATCTTTTGCTTTTTAAGGAGAAGAGCAAACTGGGGGTGGGGGTTGGGCGGGGAGAAAAGTGCAACAATGAATGAATGGAAATCGAAAATCTCTGTAAATGTTCATTGAAATTAATAAAAAAATTAAATTAAAAACACCAATTTTAGATTCGATGAGTCTAAACCAATTCATTGACTCTGCTTTGGGTTCTCTGAGGCTGTAATTCACAAGGGACGAGATTACTCTTTCTCCCCTGGAGCTACTGATGGATTTGAAACAGTACAAAAGCTCAGTCTTTGGATTAGCAGCACACTGTCCTTCGGAGTGTGCCATCAGAGTTCCCCTATTCATCCTACAGAACCCCATAATTAGCCGCATAAACTATTTTGTCCTACAAACTCCATCAGATGAGTTGTGTATTGCTATCCAGGGTTTCATTCATGAAGAAAGCAGAATGCCATTATAAAGACAGAAGAGGAAAAGATCATAATAGACATCAGAAGCAACTGAATATTGCACTAGACTGCTGGGAGGCCCAAACAAAGGGAAGAAATCAGGTGTTGAAGAGTTGAATAGAAGATTTCAAAGGGCAACTTGTGAAGACAAAGCAAAGCATTGTAACAAAATGTGCAAAGAGCTGGAGTTAGAGAATAAAAAATAACTCAGCAAAAAAAAAGAAAAAGAAAAAAAGAATAAAAAAATAACTCAGCATTTCTCAATCTCAAGGAACTGAAGAACAAATTCAAGACTCAAGTTACAGTACTGAAAGATGCTATGAGTAAAATCTTGAATGATCTGGAATGCATCAAAGGAAGATGGAAGGAATATACAGAGTCACTATACCAAAAGATTTGACTGACACAGAACAATTTCAGGAAGTAGCATATGATTACGAACCAGTAAAAATAAAAGAATTTCAAGCTCCTCTGAAGGAATTGGCTTTAAAAAAGGCTCCAGGAATTGATGGAATACCAATTGGTATATTTCAACAAACAGATGCAGCCCTGGATGTGCTCACTATGTTGTGCCAAGACATCTGGAAGACGGCTATCTGGCCAACTGATTGGAAGAGATCCATAGTTATTCCTGTTCTCAAAAAAAAATGAGCCAACAGAATGTGGAAATTATAAAAAAAAATATCACTAATGTCACATGCAAGTAAAGTCAGTCTGAAGATTACCCAAAAACAACTAAAGCAGCACATTAACAAATAATTAACAAATAATTTAGAAGAGGCTGTGGCACTAGGGGTATCATTACTGATATCAGATGGATCTTGGTTGAAAGCAGAGAGTACCAAAAGAATGTCTATTTGTGTTTTCTTAACTATACAAAGGCATTTGATTGTGTGAATCATACA